TATATATATATGTATATATACATATATATATATATATATATATATATATATATATATATATATATATATATATATATATATATATATATATATATATATATATATATATTTATAAATGTAAATATGAAACTAAAAAAAATCTTTACCTCCAAACTCGGTTAATAAAATAAAAACTTCTCTGTTTGGCCAGCCCTTTTGCACTTAAGGGTTTTGCAGGCTAATTCACAAACCTGCGAAAAATTTGGCAAGCACAAAAAACAATTGACAAAAATATTGAAAAATCAAGATAACACTTTTATGCATGATATGTTTTACTTTGAATTCAATTGAAATGTTCATTTTGCCATTATTCTTTTAATTATTTTATTTAGAATTTAAATAAAACATTTCTTTTGCTATATTTAATGTAATTATTTTATTTAGAATTTAAATTAGTTATTATTTTTTGTTTTGTTATTTTGCTGTTTTTATTTAAATTATTAAGTCTGTTTTTATTATATTTATATTTTTTAATAATTATATTAAACATTTTTTATTATTTTATTTTTCACTATTTTAGTTTTAACTACTTAATCTGGAATTTTAATAAAGTTTTTATTCTGATTTTTTAAAATATTTTGTTTAATGTTTATAAAACTTTTTTTTTTTGCCTTTTTTTATTTTATTTTATTTTTTAAAAAAATGTTCTTTTTGACAACTTTTTTAAATATTTATTTAGAATTTATATAAAACATTCTTGTTTCTGTGCTTTTTTTAATTTCAATAGCAAATAAAGATGAGTTTTTAAAATTGAGCACATTTATTTTCTCCTTGTTCTCTATCAATCTTTTGATAGAGAACAAGGAAAAAATATGATCTCTATCAATCTTTTATCTCATACTTTTTTTAAAATTTTAAGTAATATTTTATTATTATTTTAAGTGGAACATTTTTGGATATTCATAAGTGGGAGCTACTTCTTATGATTTTTTTTTCCAACCCATAAACTTAATATCATTCTTAAACTCATTGTTTGGTTAGAGATTATGTAGATTAATATCATTCTTAAACTCATTGTTTGGTTAGAGATTATGTAGATTAATATCATTCTTAAACTCATTGTTTGGTTAGAGATTATGTAGATTAATATCATTCTTAAACTCATTGTTTGGTTAGAGATTATGTAGATTAATATCATTCTTAAACTCATTGTTTGGTTAAGTATATAACAATAGTAATGACAATTTAATAAAAAATAAATTTTTCATTGTCATTTACACTAAGATTACATAATTCTTGAATAAATTTTTTTACTGATGAAATTATTAAATTTATTTATTAGTTTTTTGGGCACAATGGAGTAAATGGTCTGAATGCACACCATCGTGTGGCAAAAGTGAAATGATACGATGGGTGTTTGCAATGGTACAAATTGTTTGGGCAACAGTACTGAAAAATCTACTTGTTTCAGCAATATAACTTGTGTGGGTAAAGAATAGTTATTATATCTTTTCATTTGTTATATATTTTTGTTTAACATTTGCTTTTTTAATTTTTTGTAACTTATTTGCTGATTACCAGTATTAATATTAGGATAAATTGACAAATATTATGGCTGGAAACATAAACTTTAAAATAAACAAATTTAAAATAAACAGGGTTATTTGATTATGATCAAATTATGTAGATTTTTTAATAGTAATTATAAACATTTAAAATTTAGAATTTGAATGTTAACTCATTGTTAGAGATTCTAATAACTTTGGCTTCTATTGCTAAAGTTATTAAAATTGTTGAAGAGTTTAAGTAAGAAATTTCTCACTTAAACTCTTCAACAACTTGTTAGCTTGACAACAATCCTGCTACAGTGTTCAATACTTACTAAACTATTTAACCAAATCTTTCTGTCCTGTCTGCTTTTAAGTGGTTCCATTTTTAAAAACTCTAAAGATTGCTTTGACCTCTTGTAGCTATTACTTGATCATTTTTTTTTTTAATTTTTACAAAGTCCCTATGTCTTTAGTTGGCTAGTTTCTATTATGTTATTTTGAATTTAACAACTTACTCTCTGATAATCAAAATGGATTTTGATCCTTTTAATCTACTGTTGTTTAGAAACTGTAGTCGCAGAAAAGGTTTAATGCTAGTGGATAGAGTTGGTGAGGCATGGACTATTGCAATAGAGTATTTATGTTAGTCTATTTTTTGATTTTAAAATTTGTTAACATAATCAGTTTTGATACTTAATGTGAATATTATATATATATATATATATATATATATATATATATATATATATATATATATATATATAAATATAAATATATATATATATATATATATATATATATATATATATATATATATATATATATATATATATATATATATATATATATATATAATATATATATATATATATATATATATATATATATATATATATATATATTATATATATATATATATATATATATATATATATATATATATATATATATGGGCGATTACTTCGATTACTTACAGGACATTTTTTTAATCTCATATTTTTAGATATATTTTTTTATTTTAACAGATAAGATGTTTATATATTTATGAATCATCTTAAATCATTTATTTGTTTTCCTGTATATTAAAATTTCATTCATTTATTATAAGTTGATGAATTATAGTTGAATATATTTCATTTAACTGTTTATTTTCAATTAAATATTTCAAGCCAAGTATTTATCCTTCTTAAATATAAATATAAATATATATATATATATGTATATATATATATATATATATATATATATATATATATATATATATATATATATATATATATATATATATATATATATATATATATATATATATATATATATATATATATATGTATATATATTATGTATATGTATATATATATATATATATATATATATATATATATATATATATATATATATATATATATATATATTATATATATATATATACACAGTGGCAGAAAAAAGTCATGTGTCCAGTAAATTTTTAATAGAATTTCTTACTAGATAAAACAAGAACAGCAAGCAATCACTCTATATTTATTTATACAGTGTTTACCTTTTTCATAAACTACAGTAAGTAGTCAGTCGAGAGCTAAAAGAATTACTAAGACTTGTCAACCTTTAGCTAAATACAGCTATTCAGTTCATTGAGGCATAGACTCAATTAGATCTTGAAGGTGATGTAGAGTGATGTTATTTCAAGCATTTTTACCCCTGATTACCCTGAACAGTATTTCCCATACATGTTCAATGGGATTTATATCTGGGTTCTGGGGTGGCCATTTTGTTGCTCAATACCCTCGTGTAAGAAATCGCGAACTCGCTTAACTTTATGGCAAGGTGCATTATCATGTTGGAAGATAAAGGAACCTCTTCATAAAAATCTCTGGCTGTAGGTAGCATGTGATTTCTTGAACACTTGAAGGTATTGGCCTTGATTCATGTTGTCTCTGCAACAGTAACAAATTAACAAGTTGCGTAAAATGAACTAAATTTGTGGTTGGACCCATGACTTTTTCCACCACTGTATATATGTATATGTATATATATATATATATATATATATATATATATATATATATATATATATATATATATATATATATATATATATATATATATATATATGTATATATATATACATATATATATATACATATATATATATATATATATATATATATATATATATATATATATATATATATATATATATATATATACATACATGTATACATATATATATATATACATATATATATATATATATATACACATATATATATGTATATATATACATATATATATATATATATATATATATATATATATATACATATATATATATATATATATATATATATATATATATATATATATATATATATATATATATATATATATTTTATATATATATATATATATATATATATGACAGCGGGTTTAGGGTTAGAGAAAACACTAAATTAGGAAAAATACTGTTTTTTTTTTAAAAAACTCTCTTTTTCAATACATTTATTGTCAACCTCCTTGCAACTAGTATTCTCTTTCCAATTATCTTTTCCAAATCCTTGCTCCATCCCAACTTAAATTGATGTTTTGGAAGAAAAATTCATTACTGAAATAATTATATACACAAAAAGTTATATACACAACTTTTTTTAGACCACTAATTGAATTCTAATTGAGAAATAAATTTCTTAATCTCTCACTCAGATAGTTATCTTTGGGACATATTCCAGAAAACCTTAATCATTTACTTTCACTCCTTGGTTTGGGTCTTGTGTCTAACACTAGCTCTTGTTCAGTTTCTTCTTGTTTATTGTTCTGACCATGCAATGATATCTATAAATCTTGTATCTCATACTTCTTTTTGGGACTCACCCTATCATTGCATTCAGGATTTTATTTATGATGGTCTGTGGGCTGATGTCTTTTTTCTCTTTACTGATAATTGCACCTCCTTCCTGGATCCTGTATCTAGGCAGGTATGGTTCCAGGATCACTGGTTGTTATATGGGTTACATCAGTATTTTAGAGAAACTTTTTGATTGACCTTAGTTAAGACTAATTTGTAGAAAACCTTCTTAAGAGCAACACATGTTACATGCAATAAATGCAGTCACCAAAACAGAAAGCAAAGGTCCATCAAAATCTATTTGCTCGCCAGAAATGGTTATAATCATTTGTGTCAATATGTCAATGATTTTTGGAAGAAGTAGGGCGTTTCTCGGATTTGTAGTAAAATCAGCTGCTGAACATGAAGCTAGAATTTTGATAGACACTTTATATCAATGAAGCCTACTCAATCAATCATAAAATCAATGACACCTACTCATTAATTCATAAATTTTATAATTCATATAAAAGTAACTGACTTTTTTATGTATTATAAAATGTGTATGTTAGTAAAAATGTCTTTCACAATTTAAAGTTTTCCTTTGTTTTTTTCTTGTTTTTAAAGTAAAATTTTGACTTTGACTTTAAAATAGATAACTCTATTGTCTATTGTTTAGAAGAATGGTCAATGTGGAGTGATTGTTCCGCAACATGTGGAGAAGGCAATAAAACTAGTTATGAATTAAAAGCAACTGTTGCTAAAACAAGAGTGGAATATTGCAATTTATTTAATTGCCCTGGTAATATATATATATATATATATATATATTATATATGTATATATATATATATTTATATATATATATATATGTATATATATATATATATATATATATATATATATATATATATATATATATATATATATATATATATATATATATCTATATATATATATATATATATATATATATATATATATATATAATATATATATATATATATATATATATATATATATATATATATATATATATATATATATATATATAGTTTTTTTCATTTTTGTAAATTTATAAAAAAAATTATAATAATAATATTTTTGACTTTTATCATTTTTATTTGTATTTAACTATATTTAATATTTTTCTAAATATGTTTCTATGAAAACACATTTTCTTGTTGAACCATAACATAGAGGAAAGCTAAACTTTTTTGTGAAAAAAAATGGTTTTTGAAGATTAAGTTGTCACACAACTCTTTTGTTTTGAAAATTTTCTTCTTTTCTGGCCTTTGACTGAAATTTAAAAATTTTATTTTCAAAGTCATTTTTTTATCATTTTTATATACCTTTTACTTAAAGGGAAAACAAAATGAAAGTAAATCAGTGTTCAGATGTAAATATGCAGAAAGAAAACTGTTTTTTTAGTATTTTTTATACTAACACATAGTTTTACAAACTTGATGATTTTTTTTTAATGCAAACAACAATGCATTATACTGTATAAAAACTTTTTGTCTTTGAAACTTAATTCAGATACAGGGCGGCACAAAATAAACAAAGAGATTTAAATAATCTATAATTTTCTAGCTTTCTAGTTCTGTTTTCTAAAATTTAGTAAATTTTAGATAATTATGTATAAAACATTGAAATTAAAATAAACAGATGCACTGGTGACCAAAAAAAAATATCATTGAATTTTATTTTGAAAATCATTGATCTATTGTAATGGCTTTTAAAGTACTTAGTGCAGATTTTTTAGTATAAGAATTTCATTTTCAACAACCAAATGATTATTAGTATGTTTTTGAAAACAAGATTCAGTCTATGATTTCCTTTAAACTAGAAAGTGAAAAACTACTCTGAATGAAGTGTGCAAAACATACAAGAGAGTATCCAGATTATTACAGAGATTTCTCAGAATTAATGTTATAAAATTGAGCAGAACTTCAGTTATTGTGGAGAAAATAAAAAAAAAACTGCAGAGTATGGGAAACTCAAAATCCCAGGATTATTGAAATTATGCATTCACAAAAATGTTTCGTAAATGTGTTGTTATGGTACATTTTTGGTAAATGCATAATTTCAAGAAACTTTAACTGTCTATTATAGTTGCTAGAATTAACTGCATCAAGCTTTTTTCTTTTAAAAATGTTTAAAAGAGCGTGTCTATGAGAACTAAAAAAAACCATACTTCAATATAATTTAAATATTTTTGAAAACTTAAGTTAAATATTCTTAATTAGATTTAAAAAAATTCCAGACAAAGTTGTAGAAAATGTTCAAAAAACCATGACAACATCTCAAAAGCTCAATAGCTCAAAAAAACAAAAAAAAAACTTAGAACCTTATATTTCACATTAGTTTAGATTCACTTTTTTATACTTACACTCTAATTAAAATTAGACTAAAAAGTTTAATAATTTTTTATGCAAAAAATTATAAATTACTTTTGATCTCTTCCTTTTCTTCATGCCACGTTGTATTTAAGGAAAAATGGTAATCTAAGATAATAACAACATGATTTTTTTTTTTATGCTTACTGTTTAAATTTATAAAAATACTTCAACGTATGTAATTGACTTTGTTATCCATTTAAGTGAATGAGCACATTGAGTGTGTTTTGATTAGCTTACATAACATGGAGCTTGGTACCTAAGGCTTCTTGTTCTGTTTTTCTTTAAGATTAAAAAATTAGTTCAATAGTTGTATAAAATGTTCAGTGTTAAAAACATTTTATCTAACTAAATTTTTTATTCTAACTTTTAGTACTTTTATAAAAAATAAAAAAAAATAAACCTGAAATTGAATCACATTTCGTTTCTGATAAATTTTTAACTTATATTTTAGTTAGTATGGTGAATATTACATATTTAGTTAGCCACATTAGTTTAGTTAAAGTTTATTTAAAAGAATAAAAACTTAATTTTAGTGGATGGAATGTGGAGTATTTGGTCCAACTCTGGGTGTTCAACAACTTGTGGTGATGGAGTGATAGTATACAGTAGAGTTTGTGACAATCCTATTCCTGCATATTACGGTGATGATTGCATGGGTATCAGCAATTATACTGAAGATTGTGAAAATAATATAAATTGTCTAGGCGTCAATTTTTATTATTTATACATATAGTATTTATATATATAGTATACATATAGTATTTATATATATAGTATACATATTACATATTTATATATATAGTATACAGTAGAGTTTGTGACAATCCTATTCCTGCATATTACGGTGATGATTGCATGGGTATCAGCAATTATACTGAAGATTGTGAAAATAATATAATTTGTCTAGGTGTCAATTTTTATTATTTATACATATAGTATTTATATATATAGTATACATATAGTATTTATATATATAGTATACATATTACATATTTATATATATAGTATACAGTAGAGTTTGTGACAATCCTATTCCTGCATATTACGGTGATGATTGCATGGGTATCAGCAATTATACTGAAGATTGTGAAAATAATATAATTTGTCTAGGTGTCAATTTTTATTATTTATACATATAGTATTTATATATATAGTATACATATAGTATTTATATATATAGTATACATATTACATATTTATATATATAGTATACAGTAGAGTTTGTGACAATCCTATTCCTGCATATTACGGTGATGATTGCATGGGTATCAGCAATTATACTGAAGATTGTGAAAATAATATAATTTGTCTAGGTGTCAATTTTTATTATTTATAATTATTCGGAATTTTTTTTAAACTTTATTATTATTCATAAATACATGTGTATATCAAGAGAAAAGCTGTATTGCTAAGTTTTCTAAATGGTTAGTCTTACAAAGCTTTTTCTAAACCAAGTATTAATTTCACAGTTACTTCTTATTAAGACTTATTACTTCTTATTTATTACAATTGTAATTGGTATTTATTGCGTTCACCGTTATTTATAAATAGTATTAATGGTATATTGAAAAATTTCTATAGAAGATATAGTGTTCTTTAATTGCTTTTGCTTATTATTTGAATTAGGTCAGGTTCTTTCTTGTTGGAAACAGGCAAGCATAATGCCTATTTTTAAAGAAGGTTTATGAGCTGATCCAGTTAATAACTGATCATTTGCAAATTAAGTTGAAGCATAAATTGAGACACTGGATCATTTGAACTAGCGTCTCACTTCATGCTTAAACTCAAAATGGCTGACTATAATTACTGCAACAAAAAAAGATTTTCTCAGTAAAAAAAAGTTTGACAGCTGTCGATTTAAACGTACAAATGAGACATTTCTATGGAATGAATTGTAGTATTTCTACTATAAAACATCGTTTACGTCACGCTAATTTGTTTGGAAGACGCCCAACTAAAAAACCATTAGTTTCCTTGAAAAACCGTAACGCCCGAATGGAATTTGCATCAAAGCATCTAAAGTGGAGTAGTCAAAAATGGTCAAAAATTCTTTTTAGTGACGAAAGCAAATTTATGCTGTTTGGATCTGATGGAATCAGGTATGTTCGACGTCCAGTAGGTACTAGGTACAATCCTAAATACCAACTGCCTATCGTAAAACATGGAGGAGGTAATGTAATGGTTTAGGGATGTTTTAGCCGAAATGGAGTTGGTCCTCTCCATAGAATTACCGAGAATATGAATCAAGAAAAGTACAAAGATATATGTAAGACTATTATGTTACCATATGCAAAGGATAAAATGCCTCAAGGATGGATTTACCAACAGGATAACGATCCCAAACATACAGCTAAATCGGTTTTAGAGTTTTTTAAAGAGAGTAAAGTTAATGTTTTGAAGTGGCCATTCCAATCACCTGACTTAAATCCCATTGAACATCTATGGGAACATGTTGACTGTCAAATGAAAGAAATTAAGCCTACAAATTATGCTGATTTATTTAATTAAATCAAAGAATTATGGGACTTAATTCCCATTGACGTTTGCATTAATTTAGTTGACTCTATGCTTCATAGATGCCAAGCTATTCTTGATTGTAAAGGATATCCTACAAAATACTAATGTGATTTTGCTTTTGCAAAAATTTTGATCAAATATTGTTGAAATATTTTAACTATTTTAAAAAATAATGCCATGTCCGCAAGTTTTTGAACTTATCAAAGACCGTTGATTTGTATACCAATTTAAAAGTATTATTTAGATAATAATTATTTGTTCAAAACCTAATTGTAAATTTGAAAACCTTTTAATTGGTATATAATATGTTGGCTTTAGTAAAGTATGTGCTGAAATATAATTAAAATTCTTTATTTTTTTGCCTGTCCGCAAACTTTTGGACGCTACTGTATGCCTAAAAAAAGTCATAAGTCTATGTACTATATAATTACAATTGTATTTATTAAGAACTGCTAAAGTCATAAACCACAAATAATTTAAGTTTTTTTAAGTAATCAATTATCTAAGAGTTTTTAATAATGAAACTATATTTTATCACACAGATTTTTAAAGAATTTTTAATAGAGGATTTCTACCATTTCATCTGGAACAATTCTTTTAAAATATGTTAACAGTTTACTTTTTGGTTTAGGTAGGTGGCTTTAGAGTTGTAATTTACCTAGAGTTAACATTAGGAAGTGATATTTTTAAAATAAAAATGTTTTTGTTTATTAATTACTAGCAGTAAGCAACCCATAATATGGGTTAATAATAATTAAATTATTAATAAAAGTATAACTTGATATATTATAAAATATATCAAGTTTTATATATATATATTTATATATATATGTATATATATATATATATATATATATATATATATATATATATATATATATATATATATATATATATATGTATATATATATATTTATATACATATATGTATATATATATATATATATATATATATATATATATATATATATATATATATATATATATATATATATATATATATATATATATATATATATGTATACATATATATACATATATATATATATATATATATAAATATATATATATACACACATATATATATATATATATATATATATATATATATATATATATATATATATATATATATATATATATATATATATATATATATATATATATATATATATATATATATATATATATATATATATATATTAGGGTGGGTCATAAAGTTTTTTTGTAGAGTTGCTAACCTGGCTATGGTCTAGAAAGTTGTTTTTTTACGTACTAATTTAGGAAAGTATTTACTTTTATGAATTGAACAATGTCTTCCACCCACAACTATAATTACAAAAATTAGCAGGCCCTATTATTATTCAAAAATAAAGTTTTTCAAAATTATGTAATGTAGGTACTCAAATAAAGCCAAATTTTATAAAAATTTTAAAAATAATAATTTTTTTATATAAATTATTATTGTAGATTTTATTGCATAATAACTATAGTTTTTTAACTTAAAGTGAAGAAGGTGCATTTTTACATGTTTTATAATAACAATTTTTTTAAACAATATGGTTTTTATAAAACGATTATTATTTTTGAATTTTTTATAAAATTTCGCTTCTTTTTAGGACCATGTTGACCTACTTTTGAAAAACTTTTTTTCTCTAAAATATTAGGGTACCGGTATTTTTCCCAATAAAGTTGAGCCCTTTAAATCTATCACAATCATTCTCATATTTGATAGTATCAATATTAATAACTATTAGCAATGTTTAGAGCCTGTAACAAGAAAAAATAGTTTGATCTTGAAAAATATAATTAAATACAAATTTAAACTTTCAATTTTTTTAATACTTTTAAATTTCAACATTTAATACTTCAAATTTGAGTCAAATATAAAGTATTATTTATTGATAAATTTTTATTTAATTATATTTTTCAATATATATATATATATATATATATATATATATATATATATATATATATATATATATATATATATATATATATATATATATATATATATATAACAAGATATATATATATATATATATATATAACAAGATATATATATATATATATATCTTGAAAAATATAATTAAATACAAGTTTATCAATAAATAATACTTTAAATTTGACTCCGCACTGTCATTGCTTATATTTAATGGCTTAAAGATTAGTTCTTATTATTATTATCATTATTAGTTACAACACAACAGGTACCAGATAAGAAAAGTCAAGAAAAGCCTGCCAATATCTTAAAAAAGAAATAGAAAAAAAATTACAATTTTCAATTACAAAATTAATTGTATATTTTAAAATATCAAGGACATAGACAGTTTATTCCAACTAAAGATAAGTTTGATAAGTGAAATGATTTTTATTTTTAAGTTTGATAAATCATGTTTCGATTGAAATGAAAATGTATATTTAAATTAAAAAAAAAAGAATTTTATTGTTTTAGTTATAAAACTACTAAAATTACAAGTCTCTGTACCTCATTTTAATTTTATTTTTAATATAATTAGAATAGTAATATAATAGAAAATTTAATGAATAAAAAATAGTTATAACAGCCTAGCTCTATCAGCACAAAACACAGCAACAATAGCGCATAACATAATATACTTATGTTTAAATAAGTATAGTATCATAAGTAGTTTTATGATACTTAGGTATCATCTTTTAAATGCTAATGTATGAATTTTTAAACATTATAGTCGCATTGTGAATCATGTGAATGGGCAGTTGAATCGTTAACAAAACAGAATTTATTTTATTTTTCATTTGTAAAATAAATTTTTATTTTAACTTTGTCAAACAAAATTAACGTAATAAAAAACATTATTAAGATGCACATGAAAAATTAGAACATTTAATGATGCACGTGGAAATTCTTTTTTTCAATAAAAAAAAACAATAGTTTAAAAGTTGTTCAAAACAATAAAAACATGTTTTAAATATTCAGCTAAATTAAATTTGATTTAAGATTGAGAATGAATAATAGAAATTTTTCTTGTAGCTGTCATGACCCGCAATATTTGGTTCTAGGGGAGTTTATTTCACAGCTATCTCTATTTTTATACTTATTCAGCTAATTATCTATTCTCTATTTCTTCACTTAGAAGTTTTTTGAAAAAATGGTAGAAAAATTTTTTTTTTAAAGATTGGTCTTAAAGCAAAAAAAAAAAACAAATATGTGCACATTACTAGCATGTTTAGAGCGCAATAGAACTC